GACATATCTGTGGTGATTCTACAGAATATGAACACAATTTGTTAATTAATCAACAACCAATTATTTTGAGGGAGAGATCAAAATCATTGATTATTTACCAATTTATGTATTGACCTTGTTTTACTTATTTGGATGATTTTTTGAAACCATCTCAATAGTCCAGTTCTTTAATGAACGCTGAAGTCTTATCAATGGCCCTTTTGGGACTATAGATGATCTACTCTAAAGAAGATAGGTATCTTTTTATATCTGTTCATCTTAAGTTCAGATTTTAGTTAAGAATTTACTAGTTCTGCTTTTTCAAAAATTAGTATCATTCTTTGTAATGAAATAAATAGAAATGTTATAATACTGAGTATTTTTTCTTTCCCTCTGTCAGAGTTTATTTATGTCACTTCTCCAGGCCATGAATCTTTCTTAGCAGACTTTTAGCTCAAATGTCCTTTTTTGTTGGACATTTGTTGGGGTTCAAAAATTTCTTTCAGCAATTTAGTGTATCATGATTCTAAAAAAAAATCTGACACATAAAAATTATATATATTTTTCTAATTGAAAAGTCATATACGACTGTCACTTTCACCTTCAACATGTCTTGGAAGTCATCACTCATGTCCTTGCAACAACAAAAAAGCAGAACAAGTTGAAACTCAGGCCCTTTCATTAAATCCACCAGTGAACTAATATTGCAGGGAAAACAGGTGAGATCTGCTTACTTGAAGCAAAAGTCTCTAAAGTCATAATCTGATAGGAATATTTAAATAATAATTTCAACAAAGTCTGGGAACAGTGGCTCACACCTGTAATCCCAGCACTTTGGAAGGCCAAGGTAGTCGGATCACTCTAGGTCAGGAGTTCTAGACCAGTCTGGACAACACGGTGAAACCCCATCTCTACTAAAAATACAAAAATTACCCAGGTGTGCTGGTGTGTGCCTGTAGTCACAGCTACTTGGGAGGCTGAGGCATTAGAATAGCTTGAACCTAGGAGGTGGAGGTTGCAGTGAGCCAAGATGGTACTACTGTACTCCAGCCTAGGAGACAGAGCTATACTCCATCTGAAAAAAATAACAATAATAATTTCAACAAAATGATGGATGCTGAATATGAAAAACTTCTGGATGGTGGGCACACACTTCCAAGAACCCTAGCAGTTTCTTATGGTGAAAGTCCTATGGTGAAGACCTAACTGATCCCTCATGAATCTGTCTGGTGAATAAAGAATAATCTTCGTGTAACATGCCCAGAGAATTCTCCATAACAAGGGTCCACTCTCCAGGGTAGTAGACATTACAAAAATCTTATCCCAGTTGGTAGGAGGTTATCCTTACATTCCATTTATTCCCTTCTAGCCCTGTCTCACATATCGATGAAAAAAAAAAAGCTATACCACTGGATGTTTGGGAAGTCACAGACAAGAGACACAGGCCTACCAAAAGACTATATATATAATCTTACTCCATCATAGATTATATGCATCTCTCCCTCCTCGACACCTTACCCTCATAGCAATGAGGTTCCAGTATATTAACAAAGGATATAGCTTAAAAACTGCAGGACATAGACTGTTCCTGAAGAGGAGTACTTAAGGAAGCCCCAAATCAAGGTGGAAAACAAAAAAGAACACCAATAGCATTTGAAGCCTCTGGCACCTACAGCTACAGAAAACATTAAACACACTCAAAGAAGGCATCTACTAGGAAAAAATACATATTTGCAATTCACTTATAGACTAAAGGGTTTGCATCCAAAATATACAAGAAACTCAGATAACTCAACAGTAAGAAATCAACCTATTTTAAAAATGGGCAAAATATCTGAACACTTGACTAAAGAAGATATATAGACGGCAAATAGCGTATGAAATGATGTCCAATATCCTTTGTCACTAGGGTAATCTAGATTAAGACAGCTGTGAGAAATACCACAACACACTTATCAAAATAGTTAAACTTTGAAAAACTGATATTGCCAGTTGCTAATGAGGGTGGGAAGCAACAAGAATTTTTATTCATTGATGGTGGAAATGTAAAATGTTATAATCAGTCCATTTTGAAAGATAGGCTGGCAGATTCTTATAAAGCTAAAAATAGTTTTACAGTACCATCCAGTAGTCATACTTTGGGGTATTACCCAACTGATCACAAAAACCTATGTCCATGCAAAAATTCTGCATGCAAATGTTTATAGCAGCTTAATTCATAATTGCCAGAAACCGAAAGTAATTGAGATGTCCTACAGTAGGTGAATGGAAAAACAAACTATGCTACATCCATATGGTACATACTATTCCATGACAGAAAGAGACATGCTATCTAGCCACACAAAAGCATGAAAGAATATTAAATACATATTGCAAAATGAAATAAACCAGTCTGAAAAGGTTACCTATCATATGATTCTATCTATATGATATTGTGCAAAACAGAATTATAAAGATGAAAAACAGGTCAGCAGTTGCTAAGAGTTTGGGAAGAGGAAAGGATTGAATAATAGTGGGTTGTTTAGGGTTGTAAAACTATTCTATATGATACAGTAATGGTGGACACATTACACTGTATAGTTGTCAGATCCACAGAACTTTATGGACAAATATTAAAACTTAATGTACACAAGTTTAAAAAAAAATCTAGAAGTCAGAGATCGCAGGATAGAATGCTCACTGTGACAATAGAATCAAACTATATTACATATGTATGAAATAATCTTGCTGTGGGAGGTAAAGAAAAGATGATGATCTAAGTAACAGAAATGACTGGATATTTGTAAGACCAAAGACAAGAAGAATTGTACATAAGCTCTATATTTTGACAATATTGTTTCCCCTGGAAAAACAAACAGTTCTAATATTGTCATATAATAGAATTGAATAATAATACTGGGTTGGAGTTGGGAAACATCTCTACAAACTTGTGAATAGTTTAATATAGAAACAGAGGAGGTAACATATAGAAATACGTACAGAATTGTATATATACAAAACTGGCATACACATATGTATTTCATTTCTATGTTAGCTAAGAGGGTCTAGAAGCAATGACACCCCAAGAGTAATGAATATACCTTGTACCCAGATCTTGATTTCTAATGCTATTCTCCAATAAAAGGAACAGTTTCCTTGGACAAACAGTTTATTCTAGCTCTAGGGCATGGAATATAAAAATGAACCCAGAACATATTGTACTATGTCAGAACAAACGAAATATTTCACATTCACCAGGTATTTAATTGCTATTTGATTATGAGTTCTTACTGACTTTGTCAAATTGATAGTTTCAAAAGATATTTCTTATTTTTATTTTTATTTGAGATTTGGGGGTACATGTGAAGGTTTGTTACATAGATAAACACATGTCATAGGGGGTTGTTGTATGCATTATTACATCACCCAGGTATTAAGCTCAGTACCCAACAGATATCTTTCTGCTCCTTTCTCTCCTCCCACTCTCACCCCACAAGTAGATTTCAGTATCTGTTGTTTCCTTCTTTGTGTTTATAAGCTCTGATCGTTTAGCTCCCACTTATAAGTGAGAACATACAGTATTTGGTTTTCTTGTTTATTCCTGCATTAGCTTGCTAAGGTTGAGAGCCCAGCTCTATCCATGTTCCCACAGAAGACATGATCTTATTCTTTTTTTATGTACAGTGAGATTTGAAGTTTAATTAAAATCAGAATGGGGATACATTAAACAAACAAACAAAAATACTTTTCTGATTATCAATTTTAGAGACTCAAAGCATTCCCCAAACATTGGAGATCCAGCTTATTCTTGAGAGACATCAACCATCATAAAACATTTTCACACTTTGAATGATTTATATTTATGGAGCAGAAAACAGAACAAAGTTCTGCAGACATCCTTCCTCTCTTTTTCCTAAAATGTATTCGCAAACAGGGTCTTTTCATAGATGAAAAGGAAAACAAACAAGTTTCTTTCTCGGCCAGTTGGCCTGTTACTCACACCCTGGGATCTGATTTCTTAATAGAAGCTGCTCAAGGCAGCAAATCCAACCAGAAATTCCCAGCCTCTACCAGTGGCTACTTAACTATGAGGAGATAGATGCTTTAGTCTTTCTATGAAGGGATTCATTCTCCATGAATTATTATGCAGGCAGTAGTTCCAGGAGAGCTGAGTGAAGAGGAAGATAAATGCAACTAAGGTCAAGGAAAAGAATAAGGCTTTCATGAGCAATCCATAGCAAGGCAGGATTAACCAGTTTTACAAACCACCCACTACAAACTCCCAACATGCACACCTAAAACTAAAAGGTAAAGGAAAGAGCTCCTGGGAGTCTGGGGAAGATAAAAGACCTATGTAACAATCTTGCATGTTCTTCACATGTACCCCCAAACCTAAAATGCAATAAAAAAAGATAGTGACATAGAACAGCAGACTCATTAAAAAATTGCTGTTCAAAATTGCACTGAAAACCTCCCTAAAAATAAGTCTGAATTCATCTTAAAAATAAAAGGCTATCCCTCAGATAAGACGAATGACAAATATTCTCAGATATCAACACTTGAGGTATCTTTGATGTACATTTGAAAAATGGCCTTGCAGAGAAAAAGGAAGAAAAGGAAGGAGAGAGGAAGACAGTGAGGGAGGAAGAGCGGGAGGGAAGAAAAGAAAGGGAAATTCAGAGTACAATAGGAAAGGCAAGAGAACTGGGGAGGAACACTATTTTGAAGGCTGTGCTTATCTATCCTAGCAGCCAAACAAAGCAGATCCACAAAGGAAAAAGAAAAAAAAAGTACAGTTATTTTCTAGGCACATTCTAAAAATCAACTTCTAACTCAAAACATACGAAACTGCAATCTGAGAACAAATATCACAATGTCCACTGGATTTAAAAACAACTACTGAGACTGGGTACTCAAATGGGTAAATGCTCTTCAGAGATCATTCTTAGGCATTATCTGAAAAAGTACTGTGATCAGGCCTAACCCACCAACTGGAGGCGAAAGTTCCTCTGTTACTTGGTATGGAGCTATTCTGGGAACAGACAAAATCACTTCACTGTCTTCAAGTACCAGAGAACTTAGCCAGAGCTGTGCGATCCCCACCAGCACTGTGGCCATCAGCAAGACTGCACAGTTACCTCATAACTATTACACCATGCCTGGGGTTGTGGAGGAGAGGGGTAACTCATCTGCACCACGCCAAGAGGAACTCAATTCATTTATGATAGAAAGTTTCTGTTGGATTGTCACAATTCTCCCATGGCTCAGACTCCACCCTGCCATATACCCAATATCCCAGGGGTCACTAGCCCTGGCACCTTAATCAAAGACTCCGAAGTAGAAGTAAACAATGTGAACAACTTGAAACAGGCGTCCCCAAACTATGGCCCTTGAGCCACATGTGGCCCCCTGAGGCCATTTATCCGCCCCCCTGCCGCACTTCAGGAAGGGGCACCTCTTTCATTGGTGGTCAGTGAGAGGAGGAGCACAGTATGTGGCAGCCCTCCAACGGTCTGAGGGACAGTGAACTGGACCCCTGTGTAAAAAGTTTGGGGATGCCTGAGTCTTGAACAATCATAAGAGGAAACCTGCAATTGGGGATGATGCTCAGTTTGAGATGGATATCTGACTCTCCTGCAAGGATTAGAAGAAAAGCAGCAACACAGATACTTGTGTGCACCTCATTTGGCCAACAGACTCGACAGCAATCTCATTCACAATTGCCCACTAAAAAATAAAATACCCAGGAAAACACCTAACCAAGGAGGTGAAAGATCTCTACACTGAGAATTACAAAACACTGCTCAAGAAATCACCGAAGATACAAACAACAGCAGGTGACAGTTAAGCTTCTTGGTCAGTTGCTGGTAGACTCTTGTTTGGTTGTGACTCCCCTGCATTTTCTCACAGTGGCAGCCATGTTCCCTTTCAGTGATCTGGAAGTGTGGGCTCCTCTAACCTTGGAGTGTTGGTTGTAGAACATGACTTGGCACTCTTGGGCTGTCCACTCCAGCTCTGGGGTGATCTCAGGGTTTATGTTCCTTCACAGCTTAGAGGTAGCAAAGGTAAAGATCTTAGTAGTGGTTGTGGCCAAGGGTTGCTTGCTTGACTCCTGGGCTTTACCCCAGGAAGACGCAGGTCGGCAATCGCTCAGTACAGTCAGCTCACAGTGGAGGGTTTATGCTGTGTGTCGAAGCCAGAGGTTCATTTTCTGGTGATGAGCCATGACAGCTGTGTGGAACCCATGGATGATGAACTGGTCTCCATTCCTTGTCTCGACTAAAGCTTGTTGGAAGTGTGGATAAGGCACTTACAGTCATTGCTCCTTTGTCAGTCGGAAGATGGCAAGGGCAGTTCCACTGCAGAGGCAGTAGCAGAGAAGCTTTCAGTTGTCCCTGGCGACTCTGCCTAGGGACTTACTGAGTTGGTACTGGCTCATTATCTCTGCTAGGGGGTGGCTGGAGGCCTAGGTTGGAGGACCCACCCAGTGAGTAAATATGGGAACAAGCACTCACATTAACAGTCTGGCCTCTTCCGTAGGGCTGCTGCAGTATGCTTAGGGCCCACTCTAGTCTAGTCACCTCAGATTTTCTAGAACCTGGAGGTATCACCAGTGAAATCTATCAAACAGCAAAGATGGCAGCCTGCCCCTCTCTGAAAGCTTTGTTCCAGCAAGGTACAGACCTTTTGCTAGACCAAAGGTACCTGTATGAAGTAGCTGGAGACCCCACTTGGGAGGTCTCACCAAGTGAGGAGGAATGGGACTAGGACCTGCTTAAAAAAGTAGTCTGGCCATGTTCTTGTAGAGCAGCTGTGCTGCACTGGGGGTTCACTGAAGCCTCCCATCATAAGTTAACGTTTTTTTAAAAAGAATGGAGTTATGACATAGAGATATAGGAGTCAACTAAAAGTGATTTCAACAGTCAAAAGTTTGAACAATTAGAGTAACAAAATAACTTTAGGTTATAACCCAAAACGTAAAATAAATATCTGAGTCCATACTAATAAAATAAATGATTGAATAAATAAATACATGGAAGAAAATAGATGAGTCTTCGGTGTAGAAAAAAATCCAAATAATTTATGCAGTTACTTCACCCTTAAGGAGGTGAAGCATAACCGCCCACTCCTTAAGAATTTGGGCTGCGTATGGTGACTTACTTCCAAAGAGTACAGCATGTAAAGAGGAAAAAAGAAATTTTATGGTGGAGTAACCTGGCTCAAACTATCTCAGCCAAGTAATCATTCACATCAACAGTGGTAAGTATTTTTGAAAGTATGTATCTTGATATGATGTGATAAGAATGTCACTTTACCTCTGTGGTTTTTCTCCCAAAAATCCATAACTTAATTCTAATCATGAAGAAAATTAGACAAATGCCAATTGAGGGATATTCTGCAAAATACCTGACCAGTACTCCTCAAAACTATGCAGGCTACTAAAAGCAAGAAAAGTTTGAGAAATGGTCATAGACAAGAGGAATGTAAGAAGATATGACAACTAAGTGTTATGTAGGATCCTGAATGGTATCCTGGAACATAACAAGTACATTATGTAAAAACTAAAGAAACTTGAATAAAGTATGAAAATTAGTTATTAATAATGTATCATCATTGATTTATTAATTGTAGCAATACTTGTTAACAATAGAGAACACTGGATACTTGGCTTATGAGAACTCTCTACAGTATCTTCACATTATTTTTTATAATCTAAAACTGTCCTAAGGTAAAAGTTTATTTTTAAAAATTTATTCTTAATGCAGAAAACTTCTAAAGCACAAACCATTGTGATTCATTTTATCCCTTCTTCCTTCCCCTGCGACTTCTGCTGCCTGATTTACACTCCCTTTTGAAATCATATCTCATTAGGTAAGTCTTCATGGTGTACACTGCTTTATTTTCTTTTTTTCTGTAGGAGGTCACATATTATTCACATGTAATTTTATTCAATACATTTTAAGTCTTTTATCAATGAACTTCTGGAAATGTGCTTTCCATGTCTGTCTAGTAATGTCTTTTTTTCAGGTTATGCTGTAAGGTGGTTCAATGTGCAACACACTAAAACCTAACAATATCTTCATGTACTTAAAACTTCTACACTGTGCTAATTATACTTATTATGCACAAGTTATACCAAGGGGAGTAAAATGTGATATAATCTAAAATTAAAATGCTAAGATTATATAGCCACTTCTATCACTTCTACTTAATAATATTGTTCTTTTGGTCAGAGTTAAGTGTCATATCTTTTTAGTAAGAGTTAAGAACAGAAGGTCCCATCTTGCTGTATATATATATAATTATATATATTATTATATATTATATATTATTTATATTATATAGTATTTATATTATATATTTAAATAATATCATATATTTATATTATATATTATTCTATTATATATTATATATAATATATATAATAAATTAGATATCTCTGCAAGTCAAACAGCTTTCAGATGTTCTACTTTTTACATAAGGAGATTTTTAGCACATATTATGATTGGCAAGATCTAGTGATACTATATTTTGTTTACTTCAGTTGTATAATCTACCATAGAAAAATCTCATTAATGTCTTTGACTAATATAAGGAGGTGAAATTTTATCACTGCATAATATTATTGATTTCAAAGTGTATACAATTAAGATGGTGCAATTTCCCCGACCTTATACTTAGTATAAGTCCTGATGACTTACATTAAAAACAAAGAAAGAAAAGGAAAAGGCAGAGTAAGTCTTTCCATGAAGCTCATAGACTAGAGTAGGATAAATAATGACAGGTGAGATTGAAATGCTGAAGAAGTTTGAGGAAATGTGTCAAGATTCAATATCAAAAACATGGCAAGTGTAGTTGTGACTGAAAATAGTGAACTGAATGATTTCTGAGAAGAAATAGCAAGATTTTTATCAAGTGTCTGAAACATTATAATGTAAAATCCAAGTCTGAAGTTATGCATTTGGCTACCAAGACATGTGTCAAAGTCTTCAAAGTGACAAAGCTACAGTTTAGGGTATGTATTAGGATTCTGTAGAGGGACAGAACTAATAGGATATATACATATATATATTATATATACATATATATTAGATATATATTAGATATATTTTATATATTATATATTATATATATAACTCGCCATATATGTACACATGTGTATATATAAATATGTATTTATATATATAAAGGGGAGTTTATAAAGTATTAACTGACATGATCACAAGGTCCCACAATAGGCTGCCTGCAAGCTGAGGAGCAAGGAAAGCCAGTTTGAGTCCCAAAAAGAACTTGGAGTTTCATGTTCAAGGGCAGAAAGCATTCAGCACAGGAGAAAGATGTAGGCTGGAAGGCTAGGGCAGTCTAGTCTTTTCACATTTTTCTGCCTGCATTATATTCTAGTGAGGCTGGCAGCTAATTAGATGGTGTCCACCCAGATTAATCGTAGGTCTGCCTTTTCCAGCCCACTGACTCAAATGTTAATTTCCTTTGGCAACACTCTCAAGACACACCAGGATCAATACTTTGCATCCTTCAATCCAATCAAGTTGACACTCAGTATTAACCATCACAAATACACTCCTTGTCAACTTGAAACCATACACATCTCCTCAGATCATGCGTAACCTTCAAATAAAGAAAATAATAAGGTCATAATTATGCCTAACATAATACAACTATCGTTCATACAACTGGAAATGCACCAATCCCCAAACCAAATACTATTACATAAAGTTAACAATACTTAAGTGCTGACATAAAGCCAATAAAGCTGTCACATGATAAAGCAAAAGAAAATAAAATGAAGATATTTTCTTAGTACAAATGTATACATGCACAACCATGTTTTTAACAAAAGAAGGAGGAAATACTCGTGACAATTACAGTCCCAGTTCCTGTTACTGGTCCCATAGTCACAGCTGGTATTGATGACTACCTTCTTCTACTACTCATTCTTTAATTCCCTGTAACTTCAGCAAGCACCTCAGCAGGTTGTGGTTTTTTTCCTGTTGGAGTGATGCAAATCTTCATTCCTGAAGGGTCTGGGCCATTTGTAGTCTTGCCTGAATTGGGCTGTGGTAATTTCTCATTGACCTTAATCACAGGGCATAGTAATGCTAAAAGACACCCTAATAAATCTCCTGTATTTTATGCATTCTCTTCCTTACCTTTGTTGTGGGGTAGTAGACTGTTTTCATCTTGATAGTCTTGGTCAATCACCCAAGCCAACAATGTAACTCCCTTCTTAGCCTGTTGGCTTAAAGGTAGGAGGATCCCAAAGTGCCCATGTGGCAATCTTAACTTCTAGTTTAATGGGATAATTGTTGTGTCTCCTGGTGGCAGCTTTCTTCCCTCTGGAACTAAGACCTCTAGGCCAGAAGAATGTAATGTTGTGAGAACAGGAAGCAAAAATTTTGCTAGTGGATCACTAGGGGTGATGGTGAATGGTGCTGGTGCCACTGCCACTTCCACCTTTTGATTCCTGGAGCCCTGAATCCTGGCTATGGGAGAAACAATACCATATACTGCATCCTGATTCAGAGCATACACAGCTTTCTGGAGAACTCTGCCCCAGCCCTGCAAAGTATTTTCACATAGTTGGCATTATAATTGTGACTTTGAAAGGCCATTCCATCATTCTATTACTCCAGCTGCTT